TATTTTAACAAGAAGCATGAGTGCTGGTGGCAACAAAAATCCGAGTCGAAGACGAGGATTTTTGCACCTGCACGAATGCATTTTGTTAAAAAATATTACTTGGCATTGTGTTTTTTCGATTTTTTTCACAGGAAAAATTAGATGCCCGAATGGTATTTGACAAGACTATTTCATGAGTAACAGTTAACAATTAAAATATAAATTGCAATTTTTGGTGCCGCGGGTAAACTGCTGACAGGTGCTGTTATACAGTTTTTTCACCTAGAAACCATTTGTAATTTAAAATTGCGCGTTTGTGATTGGTGGAAATTAAGACGAGGGAAATAGTCACCTAAATAGTAGTTTTATCGCTGCAAAACTGAAAAAAAACACTCATTTTCTGAAATCTGATTGGTCCATAAAGTATTGAGTGGAATGGTCTCATAAAAATACGCGTCAAACATAGGAGTCCTATGATAGGACATTTGTGACAAATGATTTGTCTCTAGTCTTTGTGGTTAAACATTTGACATCTGACAACTGTTAGGATTTAGCCTCACTTATTTCCAATTTATAATAAAGCCGTGACTAAAAAGCCCAAAAGCCACTGTTGCTAACCTTAGCCCGTAACTAAAATGCCACAAATCGTCAATGTAGGAGTGGATAATTTTAAATACCTAACCTTACCTATAGTTTAAGCACAGTGGTCAAAGAAAATAATTTTTTAAAACTCCAAAATTTGGCTATTTCAAATGCATGCAAGATCTCTCAGCTTGGTATTGCGTTGATGCGCTTTTATATAGATACCCTGTATATAATAATATATACTATATATATTTAAATTTAAACTAGTCATAGAAAAATATGTATAGGCATAGACGCCAGCAAAAAAAATCCAGGGGGGCAAAAACAATTACGTGCAATTATGCAAGTGCCAGTATCTACCTAACTAAACTTTAAATTAGATTCTAAAGGGTGTTCCAACAAGACAAATTTATGTTAACGTGTTATATGGTTCCCGCGGCCAATGTTTGCGTAACCAATTTCCTATGTTCAAAAACCAACATCGCACAAACGCCGCGACGACTAAACAAAGAAAACAGCTAATTGTACTGTCCACCCAGAAGTGTCTACAGACCATTCTTCACAAAGGCTTTCGATCCCGCACATGCGCTTTGGTTAATAACTGATCTATTGTCAGAAGTCAAAAAGTTTTGTTATCATCCTGGTGGGTATTTTGTTTGTTATCATTGCGCTATTTTACCTATAATTTAAATAAATATAAATTATTTAATGTTCAAAATTTATAAAATGTATTTACCCTTACATATATTATATCTCTATTAACCAATGGGGCGGAGGGGGGCCAATGGGGCGGGGTCGGTTGGGTTGTGTTGTTGAGTTTGGGTTGGTTTTGGTTGGTTTTGCTCACTTTTGCCCATTTTAGTTTATTAACAGTAGATCAGCTGATAAACCAAAGCGCATGTCTGCAGTGGCGGATTGGGGATTTTGGGTATACCAATATCTCAGTTATTAGACATGGGACCCACACCAAATTTATAATAGTTTATTATGACATTAAAGAGACAAGTTCGGCGCAAACAGAATTTAAATTGAAGTTTGCGAAAAAAAGTTAGTTTTTTGTGTTGCCTCACCTGGCTTCTGGCCCCCCCATTTGAGATAATTCAAATTAAAGTTGTGCAATTTATAGGTACTTCACTATAATTTATCGACAAATTTAAAATTTTATTTAAAAAATATAAATATTACAGGTTTTATACGATTTTAAATTTTTATTATTTATTTTATTATAATAAAAAAATATTTAATATGGTATAAAATCTGTAATATTTGGATTTTTCAAATAAAATTTTAAATTTACCGATAAATTATAGTGAAGTATAAATTGCACAACTTTAATTTGAATTATCTCAAATGGGGGGGCCAGAAGCCAGGTGAGGCGACACAAAAAACTAACTTTTATTCGCAAACTTCAATTTAAATTCTGTTTGCGCCGAACTTGTCTATTTAATGTCATAATATACTAGGTATTATAAATTTGGTGTGGGTCCCATGTCTAATAACTGAGATATTGGTATACCCAAAATCCCCAATCCGCCACTGCATGTCTGTACTACAGACTCTGTAGACTCTAGTCTGTCCACCCTGGTACTGTCTGTGCTTGGTTCACAAATTGATGACGCAACAGAAAATATTTGCTGGGGTGACTATAGCATCCAATTCTGGCCACAAATAATTATTTGAGTATGAGTATGAGTATAAGAGACGTATAACCAGCCCCATTTCCTCTTGACTCTCGAACCCCGTACAGGCCTATGTTTACTTACGCCGATTTTTGTTCTTCCCCAGCAACTTCACGGCTTCACCCGTGTTTGCTGGGTGCGAATGTCCATTGCGTTTCGTACTGTCCCCTATTTGGAGCTCGAGAGCGAGAGGCGAATAGTTATAATAGCCATTCCCGGGTTCGCCGAGCCTATGCTATACGCTCAGTGGGGTATGGAGAAGGGACGGGAGGGTGTTGGTTTTTGGGGGACAATTACGCCGACTTAAAACTAAGTACGACGCGGAATCCCCCTAGACCAGTCGATTAATATTACTCCAAACATTTGGGATTACTATTTGGAGTTGGGGAGTTGTTATTGCTGCAGTGTGTAGTTACCTAGTCGAGGTCTTCGTCTTGTTCATTATTGTCATTATCCGTGTCGGATAGTTCCTGAACTTGGTAAAGTGTGTCGGTTGTTTTTTTTATTTTGTTTTTATTGTTGCTAAGTTGCTCCCAACTGGTCTTGTTAATTTGTGAGAAGTGCAATGTCTACTATGGTGTTTATGTTTCTGACGAACGTGGTCGGGCTGTTCCTGGGTGCGGGCTGTTTGGGAGATACCTTTAAAATGCTGTCGTAGTGGTTACGGGTACCTAGTGCACCTAGTCTGTAGCATTTTGCTATTGTACGGGAATTGTCGTTCAGTCTCGCGGATATCTTGTCTTTCCCGCCCTGCTCATGGTAAATTTCGATTGCGACGCTGAATACGTCTGAGGCGGCTAGTATTGTTTCCAGTCCGGCCCAGAAGCCGTAATTACCGTGGTCGTTTAGGTACGCATTAATTTGTCCTGTTTTGTCACTTATGTGTTCATAACGACTGCTTAGTTCATTTATTGCGTCCTCGATGTAGGGTCTGTACGTTCCTAGGTTATTACGTAAGTGGTTGTTTAATATTTGTCTAGTCTCTGCTGTTGTTTCAGTTTCGCGTAACGAACCTATTACCGTGTTAAACAGCTGATGTGCAATCGCTGCGATAAGGCAGTTCCCAGTGGGGGGTATTTTTTTTACTTTTACTATGAAGTCAAGAGTGTTTACAAATTCCATGGAGTTTGATTATAGTGCTTTTTTTAACTTTGTTTATTTTTCTTAGTTTATGTTGTTTATGTCTTAAGTGTCAAATTTATTTGGTCTCGGTTTATTTTACTTGAATTGTTATGTTGACAGCTTTATTGCCCTGTTCAACTTTGGTGCGTGTCCGCGATCGGCTGTTTGATTTTTCTTGGAAAATTGACTTTTATTTATTTAATGCCGATGATTATTGTTTTTTTAGTTAGGCAATGTGCCTTGTTTAGTTCAATTTGCAAATTATGTGTTAGGTCATGCGGAAGAATTGGAAATACTTAGCAAATATTTGCAGGTGGCCTGTTCCTCCCTTGTATGTCCTCTTTTGTTTGGCCTGTGGAGATCGACCTGTTGACCGATGGTGCGACCGCTCAGGCACTGACACTTGTCACTCGACACTTTCTTGTCACTCAACGCTTAAAACTTTTGACCGTTTCACTATGTTCGCCTGCACCTGTCACTTCACTCCTCCTTTTCACTTGGCCGTCAACTAATTATTGACCGTATTGTAGTCTGTACTCACAGTATTTTTTTTACACTATAGTAGTTTGCACTATGAAGGTTTATTTGTTGGTTATGGTTTTATCGTTATACGTTTTACGTTTACTCTGCCTCTGCTGCGTCGACTTATTCACTCGACGGCTGGGACGAGAATGAATTCTGGCCACAAATAATTATTTGTCGTTAAAAAAGTATAGTGGGTAAACTTTTCTAGACAATTATTTTTATTAAACACTCGCCTAATTAAAATTCTTGACCAAAATGGCGCTTATCATTGATAAGTTATCAAATTTAAAATTAATTACTACATAGGTAAATTATGTATGACATTTCATGATGTTTCAAAAGTTTGTAATACTAATGAGTTTAAAAGGAATCAGGCATTTTTGCTTGACATTAAATAATTAAAGTAATAACCACATGCATAGACCCATTTCTATATAAAACTTAATATTATGTTTATGAGGCATAAATTATGACAATAATCCAAAAACACAAATAAATTAAATAAAAATAAAAAACTTACTGCCATTTTTATAGTTACATTAAAACATAACTAATAATCTACAAAACCGCTCTAAACAACTAAAAATAACATTGAAATAAGGAAAATCTAAATTACATGCAACACAATGAATATGAATGTTTTTCACCAAAATTCGGGTAAATAGTTGAAGGTTGCCGGTTATCAAATATTTGTAACATAATTATTGTGTTTTATAAATATAAATTAAGTAAAACTTAGGGTTATTTGTTCGAAACGTAATTATAGTATTATAGTTTAGTTTGGCTTGGAAATACTTATGTTTCAATTTATATCGTAGGTTCTAACTGCGCCGCTGGCAACACTGCAGTTATTTCTAAAGCTTTATCTTCACAGCACCATATGATGTGCACAATAAAGTACAATTATTATTATTATTTCGTTAAACGTTTAAATAATGTTCATATAAATTATGTCATTTTAAAACTATATTGCATGTTATTGAATGTTGAAGCAATATTAAAATAATCATTAAACTAATATTAATTAAAGTATAGTTTGACGAAGTACATATCGACCTTAATTTCTCATTTCCCCTTCCAAGCGTCAAATGTTTTGAACAAAAAATGACAGTTCTGCGTTGAGTTTCTTGTTGTGGAGAGTGTTTTATCGGCATTTTAAATAAAATGTAAACAGTTTTGTGTTTATTGTGATTGTATTCGTTAACAAAGTGCGATAAAATGGCAAAACGGCTTACCGAAGAAATGGTCATTGCCAGGACAAAAATATCGGACTTGTCGAAAATTAAACGGCTCAATTGTTGGTGAGTTGGGTTAATAATTATTGGGCTTTAAATTTATGATGAAAAGTGCATTTCGTGTCGGTATTTTGTGTAATTGAGGAAATGTTAATAAGATTGAATATTTAGGGCATTTTCTAATGTACTTACCTAGGTACTTGACGTTAAATAAAATGTCTTTGTTTACAAATTAATTACATTTTTTTTATGGTTTGAGTTATTAATTTTATGCATAATAGGTACTACCTATTAGGTAGTATGTAGTTTGTATAAAATTCACAAAAAATGTATTTATTAATCTAGGGAAATGAGTTCAAACAATTATTCTTGGGAAAGGATAAACTTTTTTTAGTTTTTCTTCATTTATTTTATACATAATACCACAATCCACACAATTGTGCATAATAAACTATGTATTTTGTATACCTACAAATTAATTAACTACATTTTGTTATTTAGTTATACATTTTATGCATAATAGGTATTATGCATTTTGCATAAAATTCACAAAAAAATGTATTTATTAATCTAGGTACATGAGTTCAAACAATTATTCTTTGGGAAACAATAAACTTTTTATTCATTCATTTTATACATAATACCACAATTGTGCATAATACCACCCAAGTAACATTTTTAGTTTTATGATGGTTAAAACAAAATTTTGTTTTAAAGCATTCTTGAAGACCATAATAAAACTTTAAAGACCATAATAAAACTTAAAATGTTACTTGGGCATGTAGGTAGGTATCACAGAAAATGATTTTATTATTCTATGGACACGAGTTTAAACAATTATAATTAATTATATTCTTTGGGAAGGGATAAACTTTTTTTAGTATTTTTTCATCCAATTGTGCTATTTGAATTTCTTTATTGATTTTTTAAAAAATTAACAAAGAAATTTAGTACGTACCGTTCAGTACTAATTATGAATATGAAGTTAGCAAAGCATCCATCGCTAATCAAAAAGCGATTAGATGCATAATTTGCCGTTAATTTGTCGTTAATTAGTTGTGAAAAAATTAATTTTGTCGTTCGAATATTTCTTTGTTTTTACGGGTGCTTTGCTAACTTCATATGAAGTTAGCAAGGCACCCCCCTTAAATATCTGATAAAAAAAAAATTTAATAGTTAATATTTTGCCGTTAATTTGTTGCTAAATAGTTGTGAATAAATTAATTTTGTCGTTCGCATATTTCTTTGTTTTTATGGGTGCTTTGTTAAATTTATATGAAGTTAGCAAGGCAGCCCCCTTAAATATGTGATAATATATATTTTTTTAATTGTTAATAATTTGCCGTTAATTTGTCGTTAATTAGTTGTGAAAAAAATAATTTTGTCGTTCGAATATTTCTTTGTTTTCACGGGTGCTTTGCTAACTTCATATGAAGTTAGCAAGGCACCCCCCTTAAATATATAATAAAAAAATTTAATAGTTAATATTTTGCCGTTAATTTGTCGCTAATTAGTTGTGAATAAATTAATTTTGTCGTTCGCATATTTCTTTGTTTTTATGGGTGCTTTGTTAACTTCATATGAAGTTAGCAAGGCAGCCCCCTTAAATACGTGATAATATTTTTTTTTAATTGTTAATATTTTGCCGTTAATTTGTCGCTAATTAGTTGTGAATTAATTAATTTTGTCGTTTGATAATTTTTTGTTTTTTTCGGATGCTTTGCTAACTTCATATGAAGTTGGCAAGGCAGACCCCCTTAAATATCTGATAAAAAAAAATTAATAGTTAATATTTTGCCGTTAATTTGTCGCTTATTAGTTGTGAATAAATTAAATTTGTCGTTCGCATATTTCTTTGTTTTTATGGGTATTTTGTTAACTTTATATGAAATTAGCAAGGCAGTCCCCTTAAACATGTGATAATAATTTTTTTTAATTGTTAATATTTTTCCGTTAATTTGTCGCTAATTAGTTGTGAATAAATTAATTTTGTCGTTTGATTATTTTTTTGTTTTTTTTTCGGCTGCTTTGCAAAGCACCCGCTCCACTTATTACATGAATAATTTTTTTATAGAAACCATGTTTATTTAAAAGCAACCAAGCGACATTATTTATTTTTTAAAAAAGGTTATTTCAATTTGATTATTGATGACAATTTAATAGAACATTGATATTTTGATTGTGATTATCTCAACAGACTTAACTATTGTTTTTAATTGAAATTTACCCTTTTTAATGGATATATGGATATTTATGAATAAAAATTCAGGCACAAAGTGCTCTACATAAAAGTTTTGTAATTGGCGCTCGGATCCTTTTATTGTTTTGCCGTTAATTTGTCGTTAATTAGTTGTAAAAAAATTAATTTTGTCGTTCAAATATTTCTTTCATTTTTATTATTTTTATTTGTTAACTTCATATGAAGTTAGCAAGGCACCCCCCTTAAATGTATGATTATTTTTTTTTTAATAGTTAATATTTTGGTTAACAAAGCACCCATAAAAACAAAGAAATATGCGAACGACAAAATTAATTTATTCACAACTAATTAGCGACAAATTAACGGCAAAATATTAACTATTAAATTTTTTTTTTATTATATATTTAAGGGGGGTGCCTTGCTAACTTCATATGAAGTTAGCAAAGCACCCGTAAAAACAAAGAAATATTCGAACGACAAAATTAATTTTTTCACAACTAATTAACGACAAATTGACGGCAAATTATTAACAATTAAAAAAAAATATTATCACATATTTAAGGGGGCTGCCTTGCTAACTTCATATGAAGTTAGCAAAGCACCCGTGAAAACAAAGAAATATTCGAACGACAAAATTAATTTTTTCTCAACTAATTAACGACAAATTAACGGAAAAATATTAACAATTAAAAAAAAATATTATCACATATTTAAGGGGGCTGCCTTGCTAACTTCATATGAAGTTAACAAAGCACCCATAAAAACAAAGAAATATGCGAACGACAAAATTAATTTATTCACAACTAATTAGCGACAAATTAACGGCAAATTATGCATCTAATCGCTTTTTGATTAGCGATGGATGCTTTGCTAACTTCATATTCATGTACTAATTTGTTTTCAATTATTTTTACTGGTTAAAAAAATATACCTACTTTAAAGTAATTTGTAATTAGGTATATTTTAATAGTAGTACCGAGTAGTACTTATGAACTACTTTACAATAAGTATTGCAAAAAAAATGCTAAATTGCAAAATGCATTAAACATGGTTTTTCATGGTTTCTTAATTAAAAAAAACCATTTTTTTTATCTACGGTGTTTTCATAAATGGTTGTCCCATTAATCTTTATCCCATTAAACATTTTTGTTTTTATAGTGGTTGCCATAAATGTTATATCATTAAAATTATAAAACCTAAATGTCTTAATTTGGTTACACAAATATTTATATCACTCTTATATACCCCTTAAAGAGCTTATTTGAGGAGTTTATGAAGGTTAACGGTACCTATTTTAGTAACACTCTCGGTAACACTATAAAACCCAAGTTTTATAACTAGAGATAACAGAAATATTATGGAAACCACTATATAACTTCCTAAAGAACTGCTACCGGCTTTTTAATATTTCTCTCTCCCTCAGGCACATTTAAAATATATATTTTTTTATAGGTACGCTATCTTTCTTATTGTCATCTTATTCATTAACTTGTTTAAACCACGTGAATATTTTGAGAAGCCAAGTATCGCGAAAATATTAATGGTATAGGTATAATTTAAATCTAAAATTGTTTACTTAATGCAACTTAAAGTGCAAAATAATTGTATTGAAAATATGTACACAATACTTCGAAAAACAGCAGGGGACATTAAATTACAAAGCCATAAATATTTTTTATAATATTAAAATATATATGAAAATATTTTTTTAAATACATTAATATCTTTATTTTGCTTAAATTAAACAAAGGGTTGAATTTTTTACTTTGGTTTGGTCAATTAAGTTGTTTTTGTGATACAATCCGATTAAAATTTATTTTATGTAAAAAACAATCATGGCGGAAAGAATGTATTAACCTTGAGCCCTCTTATATTTCCCAATGTAATTTTATATAACCTAAGGTACTAGTTCAGTTTTATAGTTAAGTTAAGTTACTTAAAGTGTTATTATATAATTTAAAACTTTTATATACATTGTAGTAACTGTCAGTGATGTTATAAAACTTTTGATAGGCAACCATCTAACAACTCAAAACTAATTTTGTCAGGTTAGCCATTTTTGAGTGCAGTATTAATGGTTTTAACGCAACGAAATCAATTTATTTCACTAAACATTCGATTTAATCCACTTTTAAAATTTTGATGTTGTAAATATTACATTACAACATTTTCTTTTCAACCAGTTTTTAATTAAAATTATGAAAAAGCGTTGCGTCGAAGGCGCATATAAATAATTATTAACTCACAATTTTTATTTAAAAAAAGACAATAGTTTTATAAAACTGGTAACCGCAAACTTTATAAAACTCTTTTATAAACCCACTGGTGACGGTTACTATAGGTTATATAAAATGTTTGTAGAATCAATTATATAACCTAATTATATACCTAGAGTTTACAGTAACCTTATATAACCATTATAAAACTAGTAAATTAAATGGTGATTTTATAAAACCTTGTTATATATAAGAATATACTCTCATATAATTTGACAAACCTCATATAACCTTTATATAATTTATCGTTACCACAAGTGGTAAAAATTGTTTATTGGGATTCCTACCTACCTATCAAAAAATTAAAAAATCAGAAAATGAAAAAATTAAAATTAAAAAATCTATCTTAATTGGTAGAAATCTCCATTTGAAGAGTTTCCATAGGTACCTATAATGTCTAAATTTAATATATGATTTTGTGAGGCATCAGACACATTCACATAAAATTTCAGATTTAACACAGCACAGATTCCAAGAAAATAATTTTTAGTTACATTTGTTTTCATACGCCATTTTTTTTGTACCGCACGAGCTCGCTTATGAGATTTCCAAAAAAATATACAAAATAATCCATTTTTAAGCTATCAACATAATACTTTTTTGTATATCGAGATTGGAAACGATTTTATGAAATAATCTATGAAAAATCTGTGGGTTGCACTTCTGCACAAGTGTTATTTTCCATAGAATAGTTCAAAATTGTGTTACGTTGGGTTATTATTAATTTTTTCTACTCCCACCTTTAAAACGCCCTTTATCGTACATGTTTCCATGACACTAAGTGACCTTTTAAATACACATTGACAAGTTGTGGCTTTACGGCGCTTTAGTCACGGGCTGAAGTTAGCAACAGGTTTTTAGTCACGGGCTGAAGTTAGTTTTAAGTTAGTTGACAGTTTTCAAATGTCATACAATCGTTTAAATAAAGTGCCTTTCTTGTAAAATAATACTAAATGTGAAAATTATTTTATTATCTCAATACAAAAATACAAAAATATTAAATAGTTTCTCAACGCCAATAATTGAAAAGTTTATATGAACATTGTACTGACCTTTTAATTTCGCCGGCAGTAAACTATAACTTAAATTCGGGCACGGACTCTATAGAGTATACTGTAAAGTCCTCATAAAACATTTCCTTTACTTTCACTGTGAAAAACTTTCAATTTTCAATATACATTTGTGTGTTTATAAAATGTAAAAATGTGACATTTAACAGTTTCCCCTGTTGTTTCATAGATGGCGCTTTATACAAATTTTTGATTTAAATCATTTTAAGATAATAAGTATTTGTCGTAGAAAAAGTATAGTATGCACCTCGTTCATAAACTTTTCTATACACTCATTAATTTAAGAACTGCCTAAATTAAATTCGTGTATAAAATGGCGTTTATCAAACTTGATACATAATATACTATTTTCTACTCCCACCTTTAAAACTTAAAAAAATAATACTAAATGTGAAAATTATTTTATTATCTCAATACAAAAATAAAAAAGTATTAAATAGTTTCTCAACGGCAATATTTAAAAGTTTATATGAACATTGTACTGATCTTTTAATTTCGCCGGCAGTAAACTATAACTTAAATTCCGGCACGGACTCCACTGTAAAGTGCTCATAAAACATTTTCTTTACTTTCACTGTGAAAACCTGACAATTTTCATGAAATTCATTTCGATTTATAACCTTTATAATCTGTGTTTATAAAACACAACAATTTGACATTTGACGGTGACACACAGATTCCCCTATTGTTTCATAGATGGCGCTATACAAATTTTTGATTTAAAGTATTTTAAGATTATAATAAGTATTTGTCGCAGAAAAAGTATGGTATGCACCTCGTTTATAAACTTTTCTATACACTTATTAATTTAAGCACTCGCTTGCAAGCTCGCTCGTGCCTAAATTAAATTCGTGTATAAAATGGCGTTTATCAAACTTGATACATAATATACTATTTTAGCACTTTTTAAAATTGTCATTTATGGGGACATTTATGAGGACATGGTGGAGCGGATCAGGAACGCCTGTGCAACGATACCGTCCGACATGTTGGCGCGTTGGGTGCCAGAATTCATTACCCGCATTCAAAAATATGTCGAAATGGAAGGACGACATTTCAAACGTTTCAAATAATACATTTTACAAGGAAACCAATTTTTCTTAAATTTTGAATTTCAGCGCCATCTGTTGATAAATTGAAAAAAAGTTTCAAATAAAAGTTATTAATTTTTTTATGTACTACCAAAATCTGTGAAAAAAATCGGGTCATCCCATTTGACTCTCCAAAGTTACCCCCCGTTTCACCCTTAAGGGGGGGTAGGGGTGGCTAGCGACAGCTAGCTATATATTAAAACTAAACCAAAATTATATACAGGGCGTCCCAGAACTCGCGCCTCAGACAAAAAGGGAACGTTTCGAAAGTTATGCAAAACACATACTTGAAAATTTAAATTATCCAACGCAAAGGATAAGCAAGATAAGAATAAAAACGATAGCCAATCCCAATAAATGGTCATAGGGAATTCTTTAAATTGCTAGGATACTAAGGATGTATTGTTGATATTATAATATGTAACTTTTTTGGTCGACTGAAATCCAAATTGTGACCTCTGATTATGACAAAATGATGATTATTTATGGGCGCAATGCTAGGGAGGCAGAACTAGTGGTTTAATTTTTACTTAAAAATATTGGCGTCCTGAAGTATGATATTCCTTTTTGAAAGGTTAGTAAACACAGTCGGACAAAATATTATTAAAAGTTTTAAGACAACAATGTTCTATCGTCTCCTAGCAATTTTTAAAGCTCCTACGTTTAACCTAGGCGAGAGTTCTCGGTATTGGCTGCCGCTTTTTTGCTCTCATTTGACTAGACATTTTTTTTTTAATTTTGCATCTCATTATGTAGCATGAGTTCTGGGACACCCTGTAAACATATATAATATGAACATGTCAAATATAAATTAATCCTATTTACTTATTAAAACATTTTTTCCTGTGATTTTAGGGGCAGTGAATTGGGAGATGTGTCTTTATTAAGAAAAATGCCATGCGTTGAAGTTTTATCTTTAAGGTAAGGAATAAGGTTACTTATTTATTAATACAGACAAACATGTTTTTTACTTTTAAATTGTTTGGTTGTGCCTACCAGGTGACATCAATTTTCTGCCGTCAGTATGTTTTTTATCATACTCTGGAAAATTACTTATAACGGTATCAGGTTTGGAATGTTTGAATTTGATGAAATGTTAAATGTAGGCTTAGTAAACATTTTAAATGCCATAAAACCACTTATTTTGTTATTATGACATTTGTATATTTTTTATACCTACTGACCACAGATTATAAAGAAAATCAAATTTTAATCTTACTTATTTATTTGGATTCTTATTTTATTGCCCGAATTTATAGCTTGTACTGTTACAAGTTACTTCCCGATATTAACTGTCAAATTTTGTTTATCATAAAAATTTTAATAATTATATACGGAATATCCGGGTATCCTTGTAGTTAATAGTTTGTTAAAACATTGAGTAAATTTATGAACTAATCAGTATTACTGTCGTTGGAGCAGAAAACGTAACCTGTAATGATGTTAATTTGGTAATTCGTAATGCATTTTCACTGGGGGTGTCAATCCCGAGATCCCGTAAAAAATCCGAACCCAAAAATCCCGGGATCAAAAGTCCCAATCCTGGGATCTTAGTAATAAGTTACAAAGAATAAAATATACTTTTTTTTCAAGCGTATGGCAATTTTCATATTATAATATTCATAAGCATATATAGAAATACTTCATTTTTGTACGCAGTTCAAAATTATTATACACCGCCGTACAATAATTAAAATACATTGTTACATTACATAACAAGAGTGGTTCCATTTATCGCATTTAGCATAAAATCAGCAAAGAAAATGTAAAAGTACAGGTCACTGTAGAATAAATTCATGTATACATAACCTATAATATATCACATGTCAAACGTCAAACCTGACAAAATGTCACAAACTCGATAATTTCAATATAAGTTACAGCCCCAATTAGAACTCACCAAGGCCCGATTGATAAAATAAATGGAATTATTTGTTAATGTGGGTAAGCGTCCGAAAGATACCGTTCGATAGTTTGTTTGTTCCTTTATTTTAAATTGCTTTTAAGATTAATGATATATATTTTTTCGGGACTGATCCGGAACCTTTGGTCCCGAAAGTCCCGGGATTGAAAAAGGGCTCGGGCATCATGGCGCGCCGTGCAGGAATCTCACACTTTCTGCCCTTGTAGTGTAATATACTATTTTTATTTTAATAAAATAAATAATAAAAATTTAAAATCAAATAAAATCTGTAATATTTGGATTTTTTAAATAAAATTTTAAATTTGTCGATAAATTATAGTAAATAATAAATTGCACCACTTTAATTTGAATTATCTCAAATAGGGGAGCCTGGAGGCGGGTGAGGCGACAGGAAAAACTAACTTTTTTTCCCAAACTTCAATTTAAATTCTGTTTGCGCCGAACTTGTTTATTTAATGTCATTATAAATTTGGTGTGGGTCCCATGTCTAATAACTGAGATATTGGTATACATAAAATCCACCAGCCGCCACTGAACCATAATTCATAATAAAACCTTTTTTTAAACATTCTGTACATTAGACCTAATCTATATACCTAATAAGACTTAAAACAATATAAACAAGGTAAACATATTATTTTTAGCCTTTGCCGCGATCGGTACTTACTATGCAATCAAGAACGCATGGCAAATTGTATCACAGATACTATATGGCCTAAAGAAATCTAGAATTAGCCAACCTGGCTAAACTGTAAGGCAAACGTATTTAGACGGTGTAAATCACGTGATGTTCTTACAACTCGCCTCTGTTGGCTTACTTGGGCAGTATATTATTTTTAAGTTTTAAAACTCAATGGTTACGATCTTATATATTTTTAAATAATGAAGGTAGAATTTTTTAAACAATTTTCTGGGATTCCTTGGGGTCTGTAGATCCTTCAGGTGGTGCGAGACTTCTGAGACATCCTGTATATTTTTTAATTAATTTGGTATAGTAGGAACTTTTCATTAGGAAGAAAACCATGAACATTTTAAAGAAGGGTACGCCAGGGCAAAGCAAGCGGAACTTAAATAGCTATAAAAATAAATGTGTGGTAAAATGAGTGAAATCTCCAAACAGATTCTCTATACGAGCATGCATCGTTACATATCAAGATTTGTTTTACTTAGCCACGAGAACGTAACTAATACTAGTGAAAGTAAAAAAATATATACCTATGAAGGCATAAATGAGTTTTTTAATAGTATAGAATATATTCTATTAAATTAATTTATATTTGTATGCGATGATTTTCCCCTTTTTCATGTGTTTTCTAATTTATTTTCATAATTTTCAATGAATCTGAATTCTAAAAATGTTGTGGTATTTTATTATGATTATCAATAAAAACCGTATTATTTATATGAGTAGGTAATTATATTTTAACAATAAAAATCGTTAAATGGGTCTTGTTTGAAGCAGTTCTATAAATAAACACCGAATACCATAAATAGACATATGAGCTGAAATTTTACACCTAACAGGTTAATTATATAATGCTGTCTTAAATCTGTGCCACACCGTGTGGCCACACGATTATGGTTTTTAGTTATCTTTCTTTAACGATTCAAAAATTTTTGACAAAAATAGGATTTTTTAATATTACATCATTCTCCCGGTCCGCTCCTACCCCTAAACCGTCCTTCGGTAGGCGAGGTGGAACTAAAAGAAAAAGTGCATATTTTTTGTCGTTTTTGGACTGCAGACCCCATGGGGAGAGTTTTTTAGCATTTATTTCATAATTTCTGGAAAACAAGAAATTTTGTTTTGTAACTGGTAATTGCGTCAGGGCTGTCGCCTAACAGTTCTTCACAGGCAGTTTTCTATAAAATTTTATATTTAAGCCTAATAAACATCATAAATGTAAAGAAATGATTTATCCTGTTCTTCTGACATTCCATGATATTTGCTTTTATATATAAATTTAGGATATAATTATTTTGGGATGCTCATATTTTTTATCTTTTTTTTCACTGTGCGCCAGCTTCTTTTCGATCTTTACCAAATAAAATGCGCACAGCAAAGGAAAGTTTAAATAAACGCTTATAAAAGCGTGGGCACCCAAACGTCCTTGATAAGAACCAGGCCGGACCATTTAGGGCACTTGGTCGGCCCACAGAAAAATCAGAAATTTAAAAACATTTTTTTTAAATACGCAATAACTAACTCACTTTTGATTTGTTTTTATTTATAAATTATAAAAGTAAAAGTTATCTTCGTTTAAGGATGTTTTATTTATAAAAATACGTAACCGTGAGTACAGTACATAATTCTTAATAGGATTCATAAATCTTTCAGGAAATCAGTTACACTAGCGAATTTATCAAATTACCGAGATTGTTTAATGGTCTGTCGGATGTCTAGATTAACTTTACATGCACACACGATTTGCTCATATCCCTAAAATATTTGTTTTCTCGAAGCAAATTATATTTCATATTTATTGCAATCCAACATTACAAATATTTTTTACAAATCAATAGTAATTTGCTGTGTGGCGCCCAAACGGTCGGATTAAATGAAATGCCAAAGATCATTTTTATAAAAAGCGAACAATACCTACAGCGCTCAACATCAAAATTGTTCATGAAGTAAAAATAAATATTAACATATTTAATTCATGCATTTTCATAGCTTTAACTTTAATAATAATCAACATTTCTACTAATTATTCTTTTTAAAATTTATAAATAGGAGTTCTTTGTATTTTTGTATGGTTTGTTAGTTAGGGGACATCCATTAATTACGTGAGGCATTTTACTGATAATTTGGACCCCCCTCCCCCTTGGTGAGATTCGCTGAGATGTGGTAGACCCCCTCCTATCCCTTACGTTGCCAATGTCAATTTGAAGGTTAATTTGTGGGTTATAAAATAACCTTAAAATTGACATTTGACAGTTTGATGACAGCCTTGATAGAATAAGGTTTATTTTTTACATAAGAGGAGTAACATGATTGTTCTTACCACTTTTAGGTCTCTTTTAAGGCTTGCAAGTCTCTCTGTAAGAAACACAACGTTTAAAACGATAATTAATCTGTACAAACCCAAAGCACAAGAATTGTAAACAACAAAAATTGCCGTCATTGAATGATGTGCAGTGTTGCAGTGATTTTTAGTATTTTTACTACGAGATCGAACAGACCTTGTTGTGTGGATTGTGGGTTATATCAAGTTTTTCTAAATCATTTAAATGATTTAGAAAAACTTGATATAACCCACATCAATTTGTGTGGTTTGGTTTTATAAAAAGCAAACAGTGGCATAATATGCATATTATGTAAAAGCCACTAAAAATTTCGTAAACATAATAGAAAAATTGGCATACAACGGAAAACAAACAAAATGGTTGATTATAAAACCCTGTACATATTAATATGTCTATAATAACAACCTTTTGGCTATCGTTGTCGCAATATGACGTTGCCAAATTCTTTGTGTCTTTATTATTGTTAAATGCTTTTTTTCATAAAAATTTATATACAATTTATTTGTATTTATTATATTTCCCAGATAGGGACTAAAATATGGTATTTTTTTAAACCGGCAATGCCGGGCCCGCTAGTAGTAATATTACTTTTATATATATATAATGGTACTACCTATATAGGTATATTGAAAACTGTGGTGTTGTACATTTAATTCTTTCATTAAAATACCTGAAATACCAGAGCAGTGCGACACACATTTGCTTATTTATAAACCAAAGTATGCAACTATTCTTATCTATTAAGGGTTTACTTTGATAAAAATAACCCAGGGCCCAGACTCAAACCTAATATTAATTAAAAGTATTCAGCAAATGTACCTTCAAAGAATATTTATCAGATAACTAATATTTGCAAATAATTACACAAACTAGAGTTGATCTACTTAATCACCTTAATTAGCTAACCAAATTACCAAGAAATTAAGTATTGTATGTAAATATGTAAAAAAAACAAAACCGAAGTATTTTC